ATTGTATCTTTTTCGATTTTGTTTTACTTTCTTTTTTTCTTTCATCTATTTACAACAAGTTCTTTTACTTTGTTATCTCATTTCTTTCAATTTCTTGTCTCTCGTTCATTACCATTCATTGTGTCTTTGGAATCTAACTTCATTTAAATTTTTTAAAATTCCACCGTCATTGACCGTTACCAAAGCCAAAAAAGCCGATTGTGGTAAGGTACGTTACGGTCCCACAGTGCCAAAATGTACTTTGGGAAACAGTTGTCTGACCATAACGGTATGGCACGGTAGACTACACTGAGGTCCGAGCGTTGCCCACACAGCCCCCAATCACAGGGCACTGGAAGGCCAGTGCATCCCATGACATGAATCTTTTTTTTCTTTTTTTTTGGAAAGTTTCCAAACTACTGCAAGGCAGATTTTGAACTTTATTTAGTTTTTTTTGGAAAGTTTCCAACCCACTGTGAGGCAGATTTTAACAAAGTCTTGACCATATATTGACAAGCTGTGGGACAGATCTGTTTCAGTCATCCAAATTACCTTAACCAGGCATTGTCAGGTGTCAACTTGTTTTTGTACCAATTTTGTCCAGTCATCAGAAGGATTGTCTCCATACTCTATCCCATTATTCATCCTACAAACCATCAGCTGAACTTCTTTTCCATCACCAGAATGGCAGGGTGAGTCATTACTTCAGCACTATTCCAGACACAGCTTCTTCCAAGCCATGATCAATAAAGATCACACCACTTTTGCAATGATTCAATTATTGAAGAGTACTCCTTAAGAAAGCGCCAGACAAAGTGGGCAGCCAACAAACTCAGTCCTATCACCTTTTTGACACTTCAACAGAATGTTTATACAGGGGCAAAGTACACTGCAACCTCAAAATTTGATGTTACAACAAGGATAGTGATCTCAAACAAGCCACACAGCACCTACAAGAAGACCCCTGGGAATAGCTACATCCAACTCATTGATACCTCTCAATGAAGATGGTGAACACAAGAATCCATATATACTCTTTGTTGCATGACTTGCTGAAAATCTCAGTGTTATATGACAAGCATGGAGGATATCATGACATTGAGTGTGACAAGTTCATTGGACAGCTAGTTGTCATCAAGAATGAAAAAGGTACTTTTGATATTCACAGTGAAACACTCTCAACAGTTGAATTGATGAATCTGCCGAGTTTCAAAATGATTGTGGTTTTGGCTTTTGACTGGCTTTTGTGGTTTGACCAGGGATTTGTGCAAGGCAAAGATGAATATGTTGGAGTAAATCATGATTGGGTCAAACCCAATGACGGTTATGGAGTCAAAAGTATCCACCATGTGTAGCGTTGACAGAAAGGAATGTAGCAAGGAGGATTTAAATTGAAACATTCAATCAGTGTCAAGGTACAAGGTTAGGTGGAAGAAATGTTAGAATGTCTTGACAAAATGGGATTTGATAACTAGGCGTGATGAGGAAGAGATAGAAGGATTTACCGGATTGGGATTGTAGTTGAGTTAACCTGAATAAGGATGTGGACGTGATGTTTGAATCCCAAAATTATCTTTGTGACTTTTTCTCTTATAATCTTGCCTCTCTTTACATTTAGAACTTTTTCCCTCATCAAGGAAAAAGATTCTAAACATGAGTTATCAATTAAACTTTTTCTTTTATCAAAATACTAAGAATTCTACTGAACCACCTTGCTACGATTATTTGTTCATCTCTATCATCTCTTTTACTTCAAAATTCTCTCTCATTCAGTTCAGCTTCATGATCCTCCCTGTTCCCTTCCAGGTTTGTCGAGTTTAGCACTTGTCCTTTTTATTTGCCTCAGTGTGTCTTGTTCACACGGGCTGATAGTTCTGTTAAACCTTTTTAAAGGTGTGTTGTATGTTGCTGTAGCTTCTCATCTCACATCATCAAGGAAAAAGATTCTAAACTTCAGTTTCATAATCCTCCCTGTTCCCTTCCAGGTTTGTCGAGTTTAGCACTTGTCCTTTTTAGTTGCCTCAGCGTGTCTTGTCAACACAGGCTGATAGTTTTGTTAAACCTTTTTGAAGGTTTGCCAAGTTTAGCACTTGTCCTTTTTAGTTGCCTCAGTGTGTCTCGTCAACACGGGCTGATAGTTTTGTTAAACCTTTTTGAAGGTTTCTGTCCTAGGTTCACAGTGTCAAGCGTGAACACCTCATATTCTGACAATATATGACATTATTATTGATGGATAATTGGTTTTGAATACTCATAGTATGTTGTAGATGTTATGACATAATTTTGCTCAGGTCTCCTTGTTGTGTGAACACTCTTGATTCATACATGTTGCCAGTTTGTATATGAGATTTTGGGAGAGAGACATCAATTCTGGACTTCACCAACCACTGCTGCTGAAAAGGGTCCATATGGCCAATTGGATTGGTTAGCTCATTATGAATTTGGTTCCCAACTCATAACCATTGGACACTTGATTATTATCTGTCCAAGATTGGGTTAATAACCAGGGGAAATGTGTTCCAGGACTGGTCAAGAACTTTTGAATGACCAGTCAAGACCTATCTGACAATTGGTCAAGATATATCCAAATACCTTTTGGAAAATGCATGACATGCATCCAAAAACTGATTGAAAACTAATTTAAAACATTCTGAAGTTGTTGGGATGCACTGGCCTGCCAGTGCCTTGTGATTGGGGGCTGTGCCTTATGATAAGCATCAAACATCCACAAAAGAAAAAAAGTCATGCATCAATGGCTTCTCAAGGTGCAGTTGATTGCTGATGACCACTGCTGACCATCTGGTTTTACAAAAAGAATGATTTTTTATGTTAATTTATTGTAAACAGTTTCCCCAAACAGACCTTGTCCAAATTTTTATCTGATGCAGTGTTCTGCACTGAGAATGACCTTGGATTAAAACCTTGGAAAGATTATGTCTCAGGTTTCGGATGCAAGGATACCTCAGATAAATATGCTGGTAGTGTGGAGCCGAAGAACCTTGAATTGCACCTTGTCATACCTTTCTCCGCCTGAACTATTGTCCCCTTGTGTTTGGAGGAGGTAATGAGGATGACAGGGGGAAAGAGCTCTTCTCTATACTTTTGGTTCTATACCGTTTTTGACATCAAAGCTCTCTGACTGGTTGGGTAAGGGTTCCTGTCAGTACTCGAGATCTTAGACACAAGCTCCAGAAGCACTTCACACATAATATTGTAAGATAGAACATCCCTTATTAATCCTTGTAATATAATTACTTCCTCACATAATTAATTCTTTTATATTTTCTATTTTATTGATTATCATTAAAAAGAAAACACCTTACGGATCTAGTTTCAAAGATTCACAGAAGATAGTACGAAAGACAGATTAGGTAAAGAGACTAGTAGAATCTCGAATAACGAACGCCAAGACCTACCTTAGCACGAAGAATAAAAAAGAAGAAGAATATTAAATAAAGATAAGAAATAATCCACGAACTAAGAAAACTTTTAAGACAAGAACTCTCTAATATATATACGAGTCCTTGTCAAAGTATACAATAAAGAATCAGGGAACATTCCCTTACGTAAAACAAGGATCATTAGTGACCAAGCATCGTGACCTCTTACGTAAAAACGGATCTCACGTTAATCTCGTTATTCGAGTAAAGAACTAGAGCAAACTATAATCATCATTGAAGAAGTAAGTCTACTAGAAAACACTCACGCTACAGCCGGCGTAAAAAAATAGTATTAGCTAAAATGACTCACTAGGTTATCACAAACAAAAACCACGAGTTGAACAAATTTCCTGAAAGCTATAAGAACCAGGCTATCTTGCTAGAGGATGAAGGGGGCATCACATCTTACTTATCTTAAATTCTAACAAGGACCAATTCAGTCTTCTTAGAGATTAAATACCAGTAAAATAAATGTACCATACCTTCTCACTTTCTTTAGGAATTTCTTCCTGTCAAATAGTAGACCAGTTGTTGACTCCCTTTGATATTCTATACTCCATAGGCGACCTAGCTCTCTGACCCAGTTAGATTACCAAACCGGCTCATTAGCTCCTTTACTGTCGAATAAGATTCCAATTGAATTTATCCTAACTTTCCTAATCCGTAAGTAAATTCTACTTAGTCAATACCCCAGTTCTCGCAACGTAAAGTTGGTACGAGATCCCTGTATTTTCTCCGGATTATCAGGCTACTCTAAAGCTTTGGCTTAAGAGAAATTATCAGGTCTAGGAGTGACTCTCCCACTGCTGTTAACCAACAGTAGGCCTGTGATTCTTCCATAGGAAGAAATTATACTTCAGAATCCTTTTCTAGAAATTTCAGAAGTATACTTAAAATTTCCTTATCTTTGGTTAATCCATTCAGGAAATCGAAGATACCTCATCCCACGTACACAGCGGGATATTAGTCAGGTCTTCAACAGCGTAAGTCTAGATCCATTTCAGCTGATTGAATAATAGCCACCCTGACAGTTCAGATGGTCAAAAATTTGGGGTTTTTCACGAGTTTTGACCAAAATTTCATTTTTTCTATAGTTTTTGAGTCAACTGAGTGTCAACATCCCACTTGGTAAGGGGAAGATGCACCCGTTGTGGAACCTTCTCAAATCTTTTGAGAGTCTAAGAAAAGTACTTTGTGTGTGCACATTGGTGTGCTACAAGGATACAGGCACAGTGTTTGTCTTTGAAATGTTTTTCCATTTTTGGGAAACCCAAGGCTCACAAAAGCATGTGGAATGGATTTCTGGCAAATTCACAAGGTTTCAAAGCTCAACCTTGTGCATGATGGGTTGGAACAAGATGTTTGGCTATTATTTTGAGAGAAGATTTACAGTCCTTTATTGACTGTACTCGGTGGTTTGTTCACCTGTTCTTATTACTTTTCCTCTCTGCTCTGCCAAGACCACAACCCAACAAAAAAATGACTGGTATGAACAGAAATTTGATCACTTATGATAAAACATTGGCAGTGAGGCTAGGTGTTTACATGCACTTTCACACCACAAATCTTCTGGTTGAAAGATCATCTGATCTTGTGAATTCTGCACTTGCAAAGATCAGGGTGGGCAGGATTACAAACACAAGTGCCATTGGGCTCAGTGACATCTACAGTGAGATCATTATGGTTGGCCAAAACATCTTCACTTGGAATGATTGCATTTTCTCTCTTGAAATCAGTGATGATTGCCCCAAAGGCTTGATTGAATGATATAACAGAGATCATTAACATGGCTGCAATGATGATGAGGTTCATGATGAAATATCTAATCAGATAACCAAGTTTCAGTCATGGAAAAATTGTGATAAAGATTAATCCATCAAAGATCTTCAGACTCACCAAGAAGCTGAAGAAATGGATTATGGTAAGTTGGGTGAGCTCTGATGAACAACAATTTATCTGAACCAATCAAAAGGGTAAAGAGAGTGACCATATATCAGCTCAATATGTTTTGGTGATATCTCCATGTGGAAATTGTTGGAAAACATACCAAAACAGTTGTGGCAAATTGATCAGATGATTGGATAGCAAATGAGTAATCAGAAGACCAGGTGCCCTTTTATATCTGTTGAAGACTGGCTGAGTTAAAAGCTGTCTGTCCGACTCTTCCCAGTCATCAAGTCTTGAAACACGATTTACCTTGCAAAAGACCCTCTGCAGAGCCATATCATATTAGGGGGTTTCAAGTTCATTTTTTTTGTGCAATTTTTATAAAGTCGGACAAGTTGTTTGTAAAAAAAATCTTTGTAAAACAACGTATTTTTAATTCGGACACCTAAAAAGGTATCCCGCTGTAAAAAATTTACGCATATTTTACAACAATGGGCAAGTTGTTGTAGCGTAAAAAGACGCAAAAAAATTTAACTTGAAACCACCTATTGACGTTCAACGTATGAACGCAAGGATTTGTATGGTAAGAAGCTGATTGTGTGCTTCAAGTTCTATGGCAAATGTCCTTTGTTTCATCTTTCGGGTGTTCCGCTTAGACCACGTAAAGGGTTTGAAGTTTTGGATTTTTTTTTAGCTTGAAGATGATTAGAAGCACAGTCAATTTTAAAAAGCTTGACAAAATTTACTTATAAAGCTCAAAACAAATTTACGTCAAATCCTTGTCAAGCTTTACAAAATCGATTAAAGGGTTTCAACTTCGATTCAAACTTGAAACCCCTTTATTGTACAATTACCAGTGGAACCGTGTCAGTCAAGCCAAAAAAAAGGGTACACTTCGCCTGCACAGAGAGTCAAGACAATTTCTTCAAGGAACAAGTGTGAGCTGTAAAGCATCACATGGTGTTTTGACTGTCGATTCAAACAGTCTCATGTTCCAGAGTTGTAAAATTTATATACTCTCGATCACAGCGAGGGAAGAGCGGTCGAGGAGTGAGGGAGGAGCTAGGGAAGAGCGAGAGAAGAGCGAGGGAGTTTGTTAAGTCCTTACGAATACAAACTCTGGTAAATTGGAGGTGATGTTGAGATAGGGGAGCTCTCCGGGGTCCTTGACAGTTCTACTGGCAATCTTCATGTCAAGCAAAAGAAATTCAAAACACCAAAAGATCAACTGGATCTAAGCGCAAATAGGAAGACAGGCATCATTGGTAAGGCACTATCACAATACATTTAAGCTTAGCTAAGCCCCTCTTAGCGCGTTTGCGCCGTGCCCTCACTGATTATGTACAGTACAACTTACCTCGATGGCCCATGTCCATTGGTCACGGTGACGGTGTAGAAGTTTCAATGAATTCAGAATTGCTCAAGTCTGGTTGTCCACTATGTAAAACCAAACGTAATGTGACGTATTGGGTTTGAAAATGCTTGGAGAAGACCACTTTGGTTTAATTTACTTGATAGTGGAGGTATCGATGATGCCTCGATATAGTGGAGGTCTGTGGGAATTCCCCGTGGAGGTACTGGTGGAGGTACTGGAGGAACCTGTGGAGGCTCAGTGGAGGCTTAGTGGAGGTCTACCGTCTAGTGGAGGCGATTCTTTTGTCCTTGAGTTGATATTTTGTTTGAGAAAGAGTTGATGAATTCTGTCAAAAGAGGTAAACAGGATTAAGGATTATTTAAATTTACCTAAAACACTACAAAACAAGACAAAACAGTTTAAAAAGCACTTCATCTTCATATCCAACCTACTTCACAGCCCGCACACTTGATGGGTCTGGTTCTGCTTGGTTAAGCTTACAATACATTCTCCTTCATGTTTTGAGCTTTGTTCTCTTGACTATCCACATCATTTCAGCACCATGCACCACCCAAGTGTACCTTATGACCTCCCCCCTAATCCGGTTATCCTACCCTTTTGTGCTTTCCTCTCCTCAGTCTTTCTATGTAGTATTTATCATAAAAGAAAATCAAATTTCAAAAAAAAAAGACAAAATCTAAAAAGCTAAAGAAAAATGATACATCAAATTACAATTTCAATCATTTCTTCAAGAGACCAAAACAAAAAAAAAAAATTACACAAAAGAAGAAAAAAAAGGTAAAAAAAAATTCTGAAACAAAAAAAGTCAAAAGAATTCACCAAATTCTTTCTTTTCTTGATTCTTCTTCTTTAAAATTCTATATAACAATAAAAAAAAATTAAGGTGCTTTAGAAAATTCAAAATATTAAGTTGTTTTATAAGGAAGAAAAAAAAGAAGAAAACGTCTTTGATTGAAAAAAAAAAGAAAATTAGATAAATAAAAGAAAAAGTTAAAAAGAACAAGAAACAACGAAAAATGAAACCCCATGTGAATCTCTCCTTTTTTGCTTTTTCTTTAGAAAATCGTTTCCATTTGTTTACAAAAAAAGCAAGATATGAATAAAGAGCAAGAGAAAACAAAAGAGTTGATGATTGTTTTGATTTATCAATTGATTGATTCAGATTTGGAAACCTTGGTATGATCTGATCAAGAAAAGTTCGCTTGAAGCGAAACATCACTTTGAGAAATCCATTCGATTCATAGACCTTTTGATCGCAACTGTAGGAGTAGGATAATGTTGTGGTCCATTTGAGGAAGTAGAAGAAGATGAGATAACAGATGAAGTTCCTGCCATACTAGAAGCAGAAGCAATCGGTCTAGATGAAGGACCTGCGATAGGTTGATGTGGTTGATGGCGATGTTGTGATGAAGGTTGAGGAGCATGTCTTGAAGAAGAAGGTCGAGACATTCTTGAATCTTTAGAATCTGAAGCCATCACTTGTCTTGATGTTGATGCCGAAGGAGGAGCACGTCTTGGATCGGAGGTAGACGACATCCCAGTACGAGCAGATGAAGACGGTCTTGAGTGAGACTCAGTGATAGCACTGCCTCGATCGCTATTACCATGGGTTAGATTACTCGATTCTGAACTTGGTCCTGAAGCCTTTGATCTACCGGGCTGACGACTACGGGCAACAGGGGCAGAGGAATTTGAAGTAGTTCGTTCTTCAGCAATTGCAGCCCGACGGGCAGCAATTTCAAGTCGAAGTAATTCAGCCTAAACGGAAAGTGACATCAGCTATATTTTAAGAAAATATCAAAGAAGCGTAAATGAAAGCTTGACTTACCCAAACTGGTAAATGATGAACTTTGCCAATCAATTGAGTCAAGACTCTCTTCCACTTCGTAAACCCATTAAGATCATCCGCATGAAAAAAGACTTCTGATCCATCCTTGAATACTAATCTAAAAGTAAATGGTGGTAAGATTTCACCTTGATCTGAAATCGAACTGCTAACTACACTTGTCGCATCAGGTGAACCGGGTGCAGCTACACCGCATTCTTCTAATCTTAAGACTTCTGATAATCGAATTTCGGCTGATAATTTATTCATGATATCATTATAAGCAAATAATGAACCTCCGGTGGCTTTGAACGTCCGACGTCGCCATGTCTGGAAAAAAAGAGAGAACAAAAGTAAGCAAACATGATGAGATAAGTCCTCATCCCGCTCATCGTATCCAAATGATTTGCTTACATCACAATCTGCACCCATCTGGCTCAAGACCCCTGTATGCCAAACTTCTTGCCACCATTCAGCAATCTTCAATCCTTTCAGACATTCTCCACTGGAGTTTGGTAATACGGCATCTGGTACTTTAGGTAAAGGTGGAAGTGAAAGAAACTCCATACAGATATGTCCAACACCACCTGTAAAGGTCCTTCTCATCTGCATTGCAGCCTTTACTGGATCTTCAGCTGCTGCTACACACGGTATCACTACTGTCTTCAGTGATCCCAAACTATCATCCGCAAATTCATCAAAATTCACCAAAGCCCTTGCTAGATTCCCATCACGATCTAGGAAAGGATAAAGTGGATCAAAGGTCGGTGCCGAATTAACAGGTGAAGCTGAAGCGGTCCTTTCCACGACTTGCTTTGAATTTCTACGTCCATTACCACCAAAAAGCTTCGCCAATCCTCGTTTCGGACTATCAGGAATGACAGGTGGTGCTATAGGTGTTGGTGCTGGTCGACGTGGGCGTAGGTGAGCATTTCGGGGATCATTCAAAGGTACATTGAACACCAAGCTAAACTCCAATTTCTTTGCACGGACCAACTCGAATTCTACACCGAGAGTTATTTCAGGTTCAAGTTTGTAAGCAGCAGTTTTAGCGGTATGGAGTCCATTGTCAATAATAACTTCAAACCATACTGGGCGGGTCGAGACTGGGAGGCCTGTCAAGATAAGCTTTGACACTATAAGGGAACACCGATGGATCAGTTGACAAGTCCAAAAACTGTCAGACCAATGAAGAAGAGCTTACTCTTCACAAAAACCTTTCCAATCTTACTCGAGTTCCCATTCTGAGCCCAAAATGCCTTTAGTTGTTTCTCATGTTCATTGATATCAGAGACCTTGCGCAATTTACGCCAATTCCGATTATCCACCACATCTCCAGCATTACCCACCGTTGCTGTTCGGGTATCAGAGGCATAAACGGTATCTGCTTCTTGAATTCGATACGTTCTCTGCAAAATGGTCTCTCAATCAGCACATGTACCCAAGATTCCTCAAATAAAGTTCAAACCTACCTGGCCATCGTCCATGATCTTTTTGAGAGCCCGGTCTAGCGGAGCTTGGAAGTCGGTATTGTCCATCCCGCGCTGTACAGCATGAGTAAGCAATGCAGAACTTGCTTGAGCACGCTTAGAGAGAGGTGTAGTACGCTTGATAGAATTTGACTGTGGGGGTATTGTCAGCTGGATGTGAGAACCAGTTGAACTAGATAGATTACTTACTTTCACAGCGGCCTTCGCGCCAGCTCCCGTACCGGTCTCTTCAATATCTGCACCACCAGTTGAAAGACTTCTTCGGCGTCTTCCAGCACCTTTAACTTGAACCAATTTACTCGGTAGGATTTGCTCCGTAGTTTGACCAGAAATGGTATCCATACTCTCGTCGCCATCTGAAGAAAACGACACTGAATGATTCAGGCTGGTTATTGAGTTAAGTTCGGATGATGAAGTTTGAAAACCGTGAGCAAGCTTATCGAGTCCACTTGACATGGCATCCATATCTTCTTGTTTCAAAGTCTGATCGTTTACAAGTCCAAGATGAGATAAGTCGGGTCGAATGATCGAGTCTGACAAAGTCGCTACTCTAGCTTTTAAAGGTGGTCTAGCAGGAATCTCATGTGGGATTTCAGGTAAAGAACCCTCACGAGCCGATAGTGCCAAATCGTAAGGATTCTGAACTCCCATCATTGCATCAGACTCTAGAGACTCTTCATGATTGCCACTAGCGGTGAGTTGATGTAGCGAGGCAGCTTGTGAGATAGGATCCCGAGTAAGGGTTGGTTGACCAAAGTCGGGTTCGGGTGATTTTGTCGCTCCTCGATCCCGCATTCGTTCCTGGATCTTTTCTCGAGTGATACGTGGACGTCCTCCGGGGCTACAATTGGGACTATCCGATGGGTTGTAATCCGACTTCGACATCACAAAAGGTGAATTGACGCCTATATCAGGAAGTGAGTATGCAGGAGCAGTAAGAGCAGAAAGGCCGGTTGAAGACTGTCCAACTGCAGGCAACTTATTCGTATCATTCATGCTCAAAGGCGGCGAGTCTGACGACGGAGGAAGACGTGGGAGTGGGCGACGGGAGCCAGGTGGTGATAGGACTGGGCAGTGTTCTTCGACATGTGCGGATGTTTGAGATGGCATGGCAGCCAATATCTCGGGAAAGATAGGCGCTGGACTAGGCGGATTTGTAGAGAATGAGGGCCGCGGAGTTGAAGAGAGGATAGTCTGGTTTGGAGGCAACACCGGTAGCCCAGGGAGACCAGGTGAGCGGGGGATCATGAAGCCGGTAGTTGGCAATGCTGTGTCTGAAGAGGTGCCTAAGAAAGAAGGCTCCTGAAGTATTGAGGCGAACGAACCTTCGGCGACTGATGGACGGCTGAGTTCAGTTCACTATTGCACTTAAACGAAAGATGATGACGAAAAACTTACATAAACTATCATCAGCTCCGTCCAGTCCTTGTAAGGTGATGGGTTGAAAAGGAGGAGGCTCGTTGATGATCGAGCTAGACTCAGCCGGCGAGGCTGTTTTCTGGACCGAGGGTTCACCCTCAGTGTCCGCAGTGGAAGGAAGACTCGGAGGTGTGGACTCCAAAGCCTTGTCTCCGAGACGCGGAGACATGTATGGAAATCGTGAGACTAATTTGGGTCTCAGAGGTGTCGGTGTCGGCGGATGATCTCGTTTTCGATGCAGTTCGGCTTGGGCGTCCTCTGATCTCATTCTTTCCTCAAGACTGAGGCTCTCGTCATTGGGTAAGTGACCTGATTCCTCTTGTACATTCGGCATGGCCCATGGCTGTAGGGACATTCCATTTCCTACGTGTCCAGCTAGGTCCGGCGAAGTCAACAAGGCGTCGACCATCTTATCGACCGGGTCCATCTCACTAGAGAAGCTTGTTACGTGTTCACCTTCTGGGTGATTTGTAGGAATGCCATCGAGCTCATGTACAATGACGGATGTAGCAGACTGATCAGCCTCCTCCGTATCCACTTGCTCATGAGTGTCTTGAGTATCAGATGGGTCCGAGACACGCCCCCAGAATTCATCGCGAACTTCGCTTGCGCCAGGCGCCTGGTAGTGGGTGATATGAGATGAAGGAACTTCGATAGATTCTTCCTCGGATTCAGAGTGATTAGAATGTGAAGAGCCATGAGATTCGATTGATGAGGCTCCACTAGCTCTTCTCCACTCTTCTTCGCGTTCGAACTCTAGGACGTCTTCTCCACCCCATGTGACAGTTTTCCTACGTTCGCGTCGCTTACCAGGTGTACTCATAGCGGATGGAGGTCGAGCTGATCTCGAGACTTCGTCATCTACCTCATTTTCTTCGTCATAGGATGATTGAGGAGGAGGAGTGAAACTTCTGGGACCTCCCAATCTTTGATTTTTTAACACACTACCAGAATTTGTCGTAGAACGTGGAGAAGGGATGGTATTAGGTATAGAAGGAGCTGTTGCTGATGGAGGTGTGCCTGGGGTAGGTTCTGATTCGTTAGATGAGCCTTCGCCTTCCTCGGAAGATGAACCAGGTGGAGAGACGGCGACAGGTAACTTGGTATGCATATTTGATGTGCCAGATACAGAAGCCGAGGTTTGATGATCGGAGGACTGTACGGACGTCTTCGACTGAGCTTTGAAAGGTGATGAAGTTACGAGAGCGTTCCGGGTGAGCGCGTTGTAAGCTGAGCTCTTGCGAGGAGGTCGAGATTTAGGAGGAGCAGAGAGAGATGAGGTATCAATAAGATGTGTGTGTAATGGAGGAGCGGAAGGTGGTAAGCCAGGAGCAGGTCTTGGGGGAGGTAAATTCTCGTCGCTTTTCCTTTTAGTACCCGTCTTTCGAATTGGTTGCATAGGCGGTGCAGAGGCAGGAGTAGGACCGGTTTTTGAAGAAGATGATGCAAGAGGAGTATGAGAAGTAGTTGATGAAGTAGTCTGAGAAGCAAAACCAAGACCTTTGAGAGCAGCAGCCATTTGACTTTGAGGTCTGAGAGGTGTGTGAAGAGCGCGAGGCGTGCTGGGGGCTGGAATGGTATCAGAGGCGAAAGTCGATGGCGAGGGAGATGGTTGGATGCTGGCTGGCGGATTGGATTTGAATATGGACGAACTAACGAGACTGGCTTGGCCTAGACGCTTGAAGGCTTCAGTACTTCTGGGAGCTGTTGCAGAAGGGTGATGTTGAGAGACCGAAGAGTGTAAAGATGGCAAGGTACGATTCAAGGCTGGCTGAGGATACGATGATGTTTGAACATGATCGTTCAAATCAGAGATCGAAAAAGAATGATCGGTGCCAGATTGAAAACTTTGACAATTCAAACTCGAATCGTCTTGTTGGTGATTGTGGCCCGGGCGAGGTGCATGCCAAGATGGATTAGAGATACCATCAGAAGGCATGAGGAAAGCAGATTGAGGTCGAGGTCGAGAGATGGCGGAAGTAGGTGATCGGTAGTTTGCTGTAGGGGCCCCACTAGAGCTCAACGCAGGAGAAGGCGCGTCATTAAGTGTAGGCATGATGTAGAGAATAGAATGAACCAAGATTGATAAGTTGACCGATGGATCGAGTTTGTGAAGTTGAAGTGACTGGTAGAGCTAAAAACTAAAAATCAAAAGATTGAGAATGAGAATGAAGGTAGGTTTCGAAGAATTGTCAATTTACGAAGCGATGTAAAGTGAATCATCAAGGAAATGGTTCGCTTAACTAGTTTGAGATTTATCTTGAATTAGATTTCTTTCTAAAAACACAAACCACGATTAACTTCAATCTCAAATACAAATCAACGAACCTGCGTACCTGAGTTTAGATGTCTTCAACTTCAGGGACCAACTGATATTTCCAATTCAAGTGAAGTGCTCAAGTAGTTTGCTCAACTTCAAAGCATGAACTCATTCAAATCCAATGAATGAATGAATGATCGTGATACTGATAGGGGTTGTTCGAATCCAAGAGAATCACCAAGAAATCAAAGAAATCAAAGGAAATAGGGGTTTTGATCAAGTGAACAGGTGGTTTGAGTGGAAGATGGTAAAGAAAGAAAGAAAGGTGGATGTATGCTACACTTGATTTTCTCTTGTTGGTACTTGGCAATGGCGCGAACTTCCAAGGAGAAAAAAAAAAACTCAAATCGGTTTTGGTCATTTTCAAGGATGACAATGACAATCCAATACAGGTTTTCTTATTACTCTATGCTGTACACACCTCATTCAACTTCTCACCTATAGACATCCATTTCTCTCATCGTATTCTAATTGGTCACTTTCTTCTACAACAACATCCAATCCAATCGTCAAGTGACTCTTCAGACGAATTTCTTTCCAAGTTACTTTTTACTTGGAACGACCTCTGCAAGACAATTCAACGAAGGACGATGATAAGTAAATAATGATATGTGAATCGTGATTGTACATCTGATTTGAAGTGGGTATGGCCTTCAAATGTAGGATTATTCTTACAACTTTCATCCACTTTTAACCAATGATGTTTGGAATCAGATCACTGACTAGAGTAATGTGCTGGAATGGATCTCATGAGTAATCAAAACAAACATCAAGATTGAGAGATTGAGAACCATGATGGAAATGTGATAATCCTTTAATGCTTCACAAAAAAAAACATGAACAAACAGACAAGGCGAGCATTCTACAACTAATCAAAGCAATCAAAAAATTCTAAAACTAAAACTAAAACTAAATCCAAGTACATTCATCCAATCAATCAATCAATCCATAAAATCAAAGTTCAATGAACCAATAAAGAACTTTCATCACCATCTAGATCTTTAATCAAATCACTAACTCCAATCTGATGAGATAAATTCTTAGTAGATGGGTTTTGTAAACTCCAATTCAGCGTTCCCATCTCACTTAATCTAGAAACTGCTCTTGCCCATGCAAAGGTTTCTTCTTCACCTGAAAACAATGAACTTTTACCTATACTCGTAAGATTTAATCCCTAAAAAATAAACCAAATTCATGAAGATGTGTTGAGAATATAGGTCTTTCTGTAGATATGAGAAAGATTTTACTTACTAGATCATCCATTGCTGCTCGCATCTCAGGTGAGATGGAGTTATCTGATGTGGTGGATTCAGCAGCTGAGTCAGAAAAGACTTGTGTAACTAGAGAGAGAAGGACCCATGGAAGTCAGTCTTGATGATTCAAAGCAAACAGCAAAGTTAGAATCAGGCTCAACTGGGCACCTCAGATAACGTAAAGAGCTTAGTCTTGGATTCATATGCAGCATCTAAGAATAGAATAAGCCGACGAGCCTATGTAAAACAAACTGAATCAGTACATCTATTTTGAAGTTTAACTGTTCAAAGCAAAGAAGCTGACCATATCACGTTGTGAAAGTGTAAGTTTAGGTACATCAGTCAAGAAAACGATTCGAAACTGTTTAACGATCTCAAGATAATCACTAGCACTCAATGGATTTCCACAAAGTTCTTGAAAACTAAACCAAGCCACTTCATTCGTACTTAATGGAACCTTGAGTGTACGACCCCAAATGGTAAGTGGTCGGTTTGGTAAAACAGGTTCATCATCTGTTAAAGCTTCAAAAAGTTTTTGGAATTCGGATCGGTTCGGTTGATCGATTGGTGTATAATATACTTTAGAAAGTGCGTGAGGTTGTTTACGGTAATCGGTACCTGAGTTAAGATCGGTGACTAGAAAGTGTGATTTGATGAGCTCTATACAAGGAAGGAATGATACTCGTTGGATGCCGTTTTTGTAGAGCTCATCTGGATGTCGACTAGGATCACCAACATCAATTAACCGGCATCCGATAAAGATGAATTGAAGATAAATTTGACAAAGATGTGATGGACTTACTTTGATGTCATCACACAAACAACACCATAAGCAATTAGTGTCTCAAACAGTCGCTTCAATATCATAGCATCGACAATATCCGTCACCTATAGATTTCAGTAGCGTAGTTGAGCCACTTCAGTCAGATAACCAAGCAGGTACGTGTGACTTTGCATCTAATAACTGCAAACTTACCTGGAATTCATCAAAACACAAGATCCGACACTCGCGTGCAATCTCTTTAGCAATAGTGACTAAGACATCGGTTTGTGAATGATTTTCAGTCCCATCCGTACGATATTGAAGTGCATGATTACGTTTATGAACTTCACTCATGAATTGATGAAAATGTATTCTTCGAGCTGGTAGTGTAGGGTTACTAAGAGAAGGGAGTGAGTCATAGAATAGGTCCATCAACTGTATCGCCGGGTAGTAAAAGAAGTATAAGATATGTGGGTCCAAAAAAAGAAAGTGCGAAAACTAGTGAAACTGGCATACCATTGATTTGCCCGTTCCTACGGAACCGTGTAAGTATAAACCTTTGGGTGCATTTAAATCTGAAATTGAAGGTGGCTTGACCGTGTGGGATTTGCTACCAAATAAATTGGAAAGCTGGATTATTCAAAATTATAAAACATCCAAGTGTCAACGGTTCGATCAAGAATCAAGATTATGCCAACAATCACACTGAAGAATGCGGTGGCTTACCCATCCTGATGTTGTAGCCACTGAACTTGGCTTTTCAACCTCTATTGGATGAGGATGATAATTGACCAGTCGATCGTACATGTCCTGCAATTTTGCCACAATCGTAAGCTGATATGCATCTTCTTTTAAGATTCCCGCTTTTACACGACTGCTATAGATATCAATCGGTCCACCAGGAGTTCGTGAGCTTGATAGCTGAGAAAGTAATTCAGGAGGGTTCGGGCTGTGATGTGAGTATACCTCCGGTAGTGGTTGAGTGGCTGTCGGAGGTGATGATAAGGTAGAAGACCAACATCGAATACAATTCCTTGCATCTGACTTGGGGAAAGGCCTATTTGATTGAGATAACTGATGTTGTGGTCCTAAATTGGAATGCAAATTGGATCCTGAAGCTGCGCCAAGAGTTCGTGAGGAGTATAGACCATATGGTGATGTTTGAAATGGACGCTGGCCGGCCAGCGATCTTGATCGAAGCATCATGATGATGAATGACGAGTTGAGGTGTCCGTTCAGGCTTGTAGAATGAGCAAAGCAGCAACCAACAAATCTGTCCGAATGCTCCCGTTGACTCTTCTAAACTCACAAGGTCGGTTTTCCGATCAAACTCGACTTAGGCTGTGCTTATGGTCAGATCATCTTAGGAATACTTGGCAAACAGTTTCTGTACAGGAGACTCAGACTTTAAGAGCATCCGCAATCGTCGGTTTAAGATCAACTTGAGTGTCTTTAAGATCTGAATCCAACTTGAGACTTTCTCGGGCAACTCATAGGATATACCAATACAATAGGACTCGGAGAACAACATATAGGCAGGTGCGAGCTTCCTGAAGTTGATCTGCTCGAAAAAAGAATCGGAAACTTGACAAATCAAAGTGATCTCAAGTTTTAATCTGGAGCATATAGCCAGTTAAACAGAAAGCTAACAATCCTCTGGAAACATATAATCAAAAGCTGCATATGTAACATGGCGAAACAAGATGATGTTCCAATTTTGCATTGTGATACTGACTATCCGTGAAATGAATGAATAGCTGTGAAAAAGCTTCAAATCTGTGTATCACATATCATTTGATCCTAGGAGGATTATCTTTCTATTTGAAACTTTCCTTTCAATTGATTGATGACAGAGACGCATTAAAGACCCTCAAAGGAAAACAACAGCTTCAAATGACCCGTGATAACGAAAGTCCCAAGGCCAAAGACCGCCCAAGCCTCAACCAGATAAATGCTATGTAGATACAACATCATCACCCCATGGCCATAGGATGGCCTATACACCTTTGGAAAAGAGAATAGGGGGCAAGGTTGGACCGCGAAAAATGCATAGGGAAATGATTTTATCAGATGAACAAAGATGAATAAATTTCAGAGAAATTGAAAACATGCTGATATTATTGATACCAACATAATAAGTAAGGTCAACACCCCGTCTGGATTGACACGTGCAAGTAAGTAAATCTGACTCTCATAATTGCCATTTTTTGATATCCCGTTATCAGCCGCTATCAGTAGATTCACCTGAACATCTGTATATGTATATGCATTGCTATTACTCACAATCAATGTAAACACGAAACAAATTTTGAAAGAAAATGTCCCTAAAAACATAAAGAAGTGTAAACAAACTAAAATCAATGTTTTACCAAATTCAAACTGTCCATAAACATCTAGGAATCTATTATCATAGTCAATAGTCCCAAAGGCTTTGATTATTGCTATACATTGGCATATGATCCAAAATGCTTGAAGTCGTGAGTAGGGTGTCCTGTCAGTTTGGATTATCATCGGCAAATTTATTTCTGTTCTTGCGAGCAGGTTGAACAGAGATTTGGATCTGGTAGCAAGATATTTACTCATTGATATCAGCCAGGATCAAGGGGAGTGAAAGTTTTCTTGTATATAATATTTAGTTTGGATGAATTGGACTTACTCCACTATGTCTAAGGTTCATATACGCTTCGCCTTGTTCCACAGAGTAGCTATCAGTCATATGCCTTTTCCCAAAGATGCATGATCCACCCTATCCAAAAGTCTTGAATAAGCAAATGGAAATTGAACTGGTATTGGAGGATAAACTACTTACTTCTGGTTGTTCATACGGGCTAGCCTCGCACTGCACCACTACTCTGTTGGTCTCGCATCCCAATCTAGCCCAAGTGTACTTTAAAATAAGATGGATTCATCAAGGCCATGAAGATATCAAGAGAAAGATATGAAGATTTAAAGTGACTTGATGGCTTACCTCGATCAAGGGGTTCTCTTTCCTTTGGTTCTCACTAAGGGATTTGTACCAAAAGCGGGAAGGATTAACCCTGAAGTTCTTTACATGGTCTTTAAAAAAGCATTTTTAACTCACAAAATTACCAAGCAAGTCTTGTAGGATACATATAGTCGAGTTTCTATGTAGGAAGAAATAAATGAGCAGGGTTTCTAGGCAATAGGGGATCCGATAATGAGAAACTGACCAGGTTGAATTTCAACCGACCCCAATCCTGGAAGACGAAACGTATCAATGAGATGTTGGCAGTCACGCTAGTCCAATGTATTGTAGTATTACCAAGGAAAGAAATTGTTAGTATTCAAAGAGACCTCCGCCAATGAAGAACATCATGAGGAATAAGTGTTTCTAAATTACCTCATTAGGAGGTTGATAATTACCTGAAGCGCGAATAGGATTGCATCAGAAAATCAATCCCTAGTAATTATCAGCTCAATATCTTGGCGACTTACTAGGGTAACATTGCACTTGACAGTTCACAGCTGTAAGGTTCACTGCCACTGGAGCGCCTACTAGATTGTTGTTTCCAGGTTGAACAGTGTTTGGTCTAGCTCTATGTTGACACATGACTCCGTCCCCGCCCAGAGAGTAGCTCTTGAGGATCACGGAATGGCCACTATGAACATGAATATTGTCCGTCGACGTAGTCGTGGTGGTACTCCTGTAATTACTACTACTTGAAAATGTCTTGCTTGTAGTAGAGTCTTGGATGCTCGGTAAAAAGAGTGACGATAGGATAGTCATTAACAAGAAAATCGACTCCATCTTTTCCAAATCAGATTTTTGTTATCTTGATAAGCCTGAGGAGAGATTGCGGTTTACAGTCGGGCTTTTTGACTCAGCTTCTTGATTATTTGGGTCGCAATGAAATCTTCAGTGTTCTTGGAACTTTACTCCACGGATATGTTAAAGTCAAAATGGAATGTCAAGTTGTGTGAGCAGAAAGTCGCGCTTGTATGCTATAATAATTTACGATGAAGCAAAGCTCTGATAATTTATGGGTTTTATAAAATGAATGATGTAGGATACTTTAAATAGTGCAATGCGCGTTAAATGGATGATTGAAATAGTGGAATGTGACCTGCGAGCGCGCATATGAGGATGGTTTTATAATCTTTCAGGCTCCTCAGCTCGGCGTTTGATCTACAAGAGTTTCCACGAGCACATTTTGCCTTCATGATTCAACCCTCATGTGTCGTCCTGGATAAGTCAAAGGGGCCAAGCCGTGTAGCTGTACTTTGACTCCGGCGCGCGGCCGACAGATGATGAGGAAAACAATGTAAGGTGGAAACGATAACACTTCAAATGGTGATGAAACATCTACCTTGCCCCTGGTATAAGGAAATCCAGTGAAGCAGCGGTGACCAAGTGGCGTCAAGGAAGGCCAAACTGGTGGCAGAGCGCTGGTCCGACTTCGATCAAGCAACATCCAGTGCACAAATTAAATGTTGAACGAAACTTGCAAGAGCATTCATCGAGGCGAGTTGTTGCAGGCGTTTCCAAATCCAAATGCATGGCTGAGTCGACACCCGTGACCCAGCCCTCAAAAACCAACCATCACCGACAACAAAAATGCCTCGCCTTTGAGTCCGGAGTGTTCATGGACTAGACACGTCGGCCCGGATCCACCCGAGGCATCAATCCGAAGCTCACAAGCACCGACGGACGTTCATGATGACCAGGGACTATCTCCTCATAAGAATATTGCCTTCACAATTATTTTGAGAGCACCAACTCGATGAAGAGAAATTACATTTTGTAAATAAACATGGGATTTGAAAGTTTGCGGGGAAGGTGTAAACTACATATTCAAAACACAATGGGTTTACAGGAACTTTTGACACTCGTCATCATATGGGAAGGAACCCAACACCCCGACACGCAACAGCTAACCCATGATCTTGACGGGCCTTTTGAATGTCTATGATTCAAATAATGAATAAGAACAAGAACAAGCTATTATATAGTATAAGAAAGACTCACCTGTCCGAGTGCAATCACATACAGGTAAGTTTATCACACATTCAGCATGGATGTCATTTGGAAGAGGCCTAGACGGAGATATGTTGTATGATCAGGTGTCAAGTTCTTCCTCATCCATCATTTCACAAATATCATATCTTACTTGTTTTTGTATGGATCATAACCAATCCCATACTTCTGCTGACAGGCCCAGGATGAAGAAGTGATAAGTTCAGTTGAAAGTCCGTATTTGGCTGCAATTATTTCGCCGGCATATATATCTTTTTCGACCTTGTCACCATGAGCAAGCACTATTCTCATCATTCTGTACAGGTTTAGGAATTCTCAGCTATTTGGAATGAACAAAAAAATAGTTTCACAGCACTTACACTCCTGATTTATCGCACCATGATAAGCGGCTACTCCCCACATCGGCGCCATTGGGACCTTTACCTGTGCACAAGTCCTTTTCAGAATAGATAAATGTCAAAACAAATATGTAGGATCTTGGTAGATACGGGAATTAACAAAACGTACATTTCCCCGAGTGATGAAGGCATTCTGTGAAGAATAATAAACTTGTCAAATGAGGCGGAAAACAGATGGCATTAGCTTCTTGTACGTTACCTTTGCTCGGAGTACAGCCACAACAACACGAGCTTCAAGAACATCGCGATAACCATCGAGGATTTGCTGGACAGATGTTGGTTGTTTGTCCATGAAGAATGTCCCACCCTTGATTATATCAATCAGTCCTCCAGGTGAACTCATCGGAGCATTTAAAACGTTATTGATCCATGTATCGAGATGTTGATGATATTCCAACCCCCACTTGGAGATATGATGCCCAATAGCGGCCAGCTATAAAATAGAGACATCGTTATTAACCCGATTTCTGAGATACGGTGTACACAAGTCTCGTATACGTTAAGGATACCCACAGAGACAAATTCCTTCCGCTCTGGACGTGTAGAGACCGCCGGTGCCACGTCTGGTAGAACAACCACGGCGCCTGCCAAAACCAGATTGAGTGTTGATAAGAGTTGAACCTCTATTATTTCAACAGATATTGCGGCAATCAACAAAGAAGATAGTCCGGTCAGGGAAGCAAAGAGTCCAATGAATGCGGCAGCAGCCATCACTGCTCTGGGGGTCGTGTCGGGTTTCGTCCTTGGAAAAAGAGAACGAGATGCATATTAGAAGATCGTCTTTGAGATCATCACCTAGAGCCTTAACTTACAGGTCACTAATGATTGCCGATGTGGTTTCTTTGAACGATTCCCAGCTTGTCAGATTTTGTCCACAGATAATGCTCGGGCCTCAGACGATCTTACCTTTGACTATGTCGATCGCAAACGCTGAGACTTTGTATAAGAGGTTCATCCTCAGATTAAATTCCTGTATCGCATACAGCACATGCCAAGCTGGTGATTCCACAGGACTGCAAACTTGACCAACCAAACATTGTTGGCCAATCCCACATCGAAAGTTGTTGGCTCCGACAGTTTTTGCATATCCCTATATCAAGTAGAATCGTATTAAGTACTTTTGATGAGGTGTAGATAGTATGGATACGGGAAACAGCCAACCGCAAGTGTCAAATTCCTCCAAATTGTTCCATTAGATAAATAAGAGTCGATATTCATATCCGACCATGTCTCCCGTGCTATGATTCCCGTCTCGCATCTTGATCCAAGCGACAGAACTGTGGATATTGGAGAGAGGACGAGAAGAGCTAAGCTTTGGTGATGAAACGGGCGCATGATGGATTTGAAAAGTATAAGGAGATAGGTGGGGTTCAATCACTAAGTGGAATTATAACGTGTGGAATGCTGAGTTTATAAGCAAAAAATCCCATCACTTGAGCGCAGACTTACGCAGTCCTTCATCTCATCATCACACAAGTTTGGAGTGCAGTCTCCCGTACTGCAGATGTGGATTATATCATTGCAGGTGGGTTCAGTGTCTGGTCGATACCGTCTGCTGAATTATGATCAATTGTCCTTGGAACGGTCAATTCGACTTGCACGCCGCGCGAAGCTACGCCACGTCTCCGCAGTCAAGAACTAGACACTGTGACTGAAAACTGTGACTGTCCACATCGTCTCACCTCTTATGCATCCACTAATTCTCTCTCCAGTAGAGGCAATGTAAAAAAGCCGTTCCTTCGTCACGTGGTGCAAATACCCTATGGCAGATTGGCTTGGTGTGTTGATTATTTATTACTTTTTCTAAAATGAATGGCACCCCTGGCCCGAGAAAAAAATATTTTTCAGCGCCGCAGTCCCCGCAGCCGGTGCAGTGATGCATACAGAATCCAGATCAGCTGGCTGACGCGGCCTGCTGAGCACTGTAATTGGCAATCACTCACCGAACTCCCTCTACGATTGGCTTTCAACACCCACTTCCTCGACATTTTTCCTGACGCCTCAAACCAATTGCTTCATCGATCACACGTAAGTCGTCCTATCAGCTTTCTAGCACACCTATTCCACGTTGACTTATAACCTTTTTTCTTTTTCTTTTTCTTTTTCTTTTTCTTTTTCTTTTTCTTTGACTTGGACTTTGATTTTGATTTTCTCTTCTTTTTTTGACCATGTAGATCAAAGACTACCCCAACTCCTTGTTCAAACCGACACCGTCATAAGCAAAGATGATACTCACTTTTGAGATGATTTCAAGTGATTGAGGGTGGTTATGAGTGATTTGGGGTGGTCTCGTACTTGGCCTATCTCTGGTACCAGACCACCATTTCCTTTTTTTTTACAAAAAATGTGTCCTTATGATAAGTTTTGCTCTAGGATATCATAACTCATGGTTCCTGTTAATGACTTTTCAAGTTGTAGTAATTGATGCTTATGCTAGTATTTGTTCTCAGTTCTTATTTGTGGTTGTGATGACTCACACTTTTTGTTTTTGTTTTGATCAATGCAAGTTCACTGTGTTCCAAAAGTATGAGCCTACAAACTGAGAAAGTCCCATTAATCTCACTTATGATCCAACATAAATGACGCCAAACAACTTATAGTTACTCAAGCAGAACATGATCCAGCTTATTGTCTTTTTCATTCTTTGTCGCATCGACAAAAAACTTTCAATTATATTGATAATCTCAATGTTTTTCAATCAAATCTCACTAAAATAGAGGATCCAGTATCTAGTTCGTTCATCCTAAAATCTTAACTGAAATGTTAAAAGTTGTTCAAATAAATATGAACAATTTAATTTGATGTTTTGTAGATAAGTTTGGTTTTGAATGGCAAATCAAACAAAAGTTTCCTTCTTTGCATTGATTTCTGAGTCAGACAGCACAAAAATCAAGAGACATTCAAAAGTATTAAAGAGATTCAATAAAAAAGATACATCGGGTAAAGAAACAATTGTGATATCAATCCGATCAACAGAATGATTGTGTTCGTTAACTAGATAATAAAAAATTCAATTAAATCAATGAGATCTCAATCAAATGCCCATCCCTTCTCCGTGACCTGTAGCAAAACTAGACATATGACGGTCTCTGTTTGAATCGGGGTAGTCTTTGATCTACATGGTCAAAAAAAGAAGAGAAAATCAAAATCAAAGTCCAAGTCAAAGAAAAAGAAAAAGAAAAAGAGAAAAGGTTATAAGTCAACGTGGAATAGGTGTGCTAGAAAGCTGATAGGACGACTTACGTGTGATCGATGAAGCAATTGGTTTGAGGCGTCAGGAAAAATGTCGAGGAAGTGGGTGTTGAAAGCCAATCGTAGAGGGAGTTCGGTGAGTGATTGCCAATTACAGTGCTCAGCAGGCCGCGTCAGCCAGCTGATCTGGATTCTGTATGCATCACTGCACCGGCTGCGGGGACTGCGGCGCTGAAAAATATTTTTTTCTCGGGCCAGGGGTGCCATTCATTTTAGAAAAAGTAATATCCACGACTTTTCTTCATTCAGGAAGCACATACTGACCAAAGAGTATCATATATAAAGTGCGCAGCATTGCATAGAATCGACCCGAAACCAGGCCACAACCAAAAAGTCGACACCATTGCCTGCCAAACGCTCTTAGTCCCCATGGGTGAGCCATTCATTTCAAGCGGCAGTATACCCCTACCAAAGAGCTCCAGGACGGCTGACCACGCACTCCTTCCCTTGTTACAAAACTTCAGTATGTGGTGGATGTGAGAAAATGAACAGTACCAAGGTCCTCAAACCAGGTCAACCACAAACAATTGACCCCGCAAGGAAACCAGAGGGACAACCAAAACCCAGCGCAGGAAGCAAGACCAATGGATCTGATTCTCATCCTCTCTTGTCATCCAATACCACCACATCAGACCCTAATGCAAAGCCAAAGCCAAGTGCAATCAGAAATACTAATGCAACCCCTTCCACTCCTGTACCATCAGCATCCTAAGTCCCAAAGAACACCCAGAAGCTAGGTTCTCAACCACACAAAGCTGGAGCTTGACAATAAACTTGTGATCCAAGTCTAACTACTGAATATTGAATCTCTCTCATTTTAAGTCCTTTTGTATCTTTCTTTTTGTGTCAAATGTCTGGTGATGATTGTTTTGTAACATCAGTGATTCAAGATATGCCACACTATCTTGCCATAAAAGACTGAGAAACTTGCTCATCACTTCCAGTGTATCAGTTTTGGGTATTGAAAACATGATTTCCTCTGCTCATCACAGTGTCCATTTTCCAACAGCATGTCAAAGTGCACGGACAGATGTTTGAAAAAAAAATGAAAAAAGTTTTGTTCAGTTTCTTTGTGAGACTTTGGTGAAATTCCAGCACCCCCGTAGTCTCAGAAAAGGATATCAGACTTCCTGATTTCAATTGTATCACCGCCCAAGGAACTCAAGAAAGGATTGTCTGTACATGGTGCTTGAGCTCATTTGAAGCTTGGATCTACTCATTACAAGATGTCTTTTGCATGAGCATCTCAACATGACACTTGAGTTTTTACGCTGTGCATCATACCATTGAGATACTAAATTTCCCATATTATTTTTCTCTGACGTTACTTTTCCACCTTTCTATTGTACTCAATTCCAGCATAGTTTGTTCTTGCAGTGCAATGAAATTCACAAGCTATCAGTATGTGTTCCAACTATGTTGAGAGAAAGCTGCCCAATGTTAACACCTGTGGTTTATGATGATGTCCTTTTAAGAGCATTACCACCGGACCATGTAGAAAGCAAAAACACAGCTGATATACATGGTGTGTGGAAAATGATCCAAGCCATTGGACTGTGTAAACAGCCTGTATGGGCTACACATCATCTAACTCTTGACCGGGAGAGTGCAAATTTGGATGGTGAGCAGATTCCCAAATACAAACAAAAGGTGAACAACATCCAAAATTACTTCTTGTGTTGGAACCTTCAAGCTGTTCTATTTGTGCTTACCACACAAAATGTGTCACAGAAGTCTGAGACTGTCTGTGAGGGTTAAGGCTTTGGTTTATTGTAATTATTGTAATTATGCTTATATTTCAAAATGAAATGTGATTAAAGGAAATGAAGGATAAGGAAAGGTTAACTGGTCTGTTTGGACAAATCCAGACACACTGCAGTTGCATGACTCCTAAAAATGAGATTGAAGTTTTATAATAAAAGTATTATAAAGATTGGAAGCTAGATCCAAGGCTTCCCTTCAATCTTCACTTAGCCAGATTGAAGAGTGATTTAGATTTCACTAATTGGTTGTTCTTATGGTCACCAATAAAAGTGCTTGTATGTAGGTCACTAGCCTTGGGTTGGTTTGAGGTCACCAACCTATTTTTTTCTACTTTGAGGGGAAGTAGAGGATCCAGAAAAAGTAGTACTACTTACTTTTAGTCAGGAAACTTCTCAAAGTAATGAAGAGAAAGCACTAGTCTTATATACATAAGAAACTTTAGTAATACTTCAAAGTGGGTTTTTAAAAGTTTTGGGTAATAAAAGCTTTGTGTGTCCCTGAAGGATGAGAGAGGAGGGGTTTTTACACTCTTGTCTCTAAACCTAACTGTAGTGATATTTGTTTCTATCACTACAATCTTTAGGGGTTCTATCATTTATCATTTATTATTATTGTTTGTACTTAATTACATATAGTAATATCAAGTACTTCTTATGTAATATACACATATCAACTCTTGACTAGGGCTATGACCCGGCCGTGGAACTTCGTGGCAGGCCCCGGGGCATCGACCCGCCCCGGTAGGTACCGTAGGAGTTCAAAAAATGGGCAGGGCTCAGCGGGACACGCCCTGATCAAAGAGCCTTGGGGCTCAGCGGGGCTCAGCGCACATTTAGATGTGAGAACAAGCAGAGGATGTGCATAAACATCGTGGCATATATTTCAGATTCATGTATCTACTAATCAAGTATACTAGTAAAGAAAAGAAACTGGACAAAAATCATAACTACTTGAAAAGAAAGGAGAATTACTACAAGAATTGCTTGGACCAACTTTTGAGACAAACTTGTGCCTCAAGATTTTGTGTAGTGAATGAGGCGCAATGGTCACTCATGACTATTAAAGCAGTAGAAAAACACCTTTCAGACGGAGCGCTAGTCGCAGGCACAGCAAGCATGGCTCTTGCAATGCGTGCTAGATTGGGCCAGTGTCGTTGATTCATCTTCCAGTCGTGAAGAACATCACAACACTCATCTTCTTGAGGGGCAGTCAAATACTCGTTGACCTCATGTTCAATGGGAATCATCTTGCGGCGCTTGATAAAGTGTTGAGGGTGATTGGGGTTGAGACTTTCTTCAGATTTGACAATCTCGACGTCA